GCATTTTTATATATTAAAACTATATTTTAAATATTTTTACATATTTAATACAATTTTATATAAAATACATTTTAATATATTATAGTTAACTAAAACCATAAGTTGTTAATTGAAACTTTAACTAAAATAAAATCTAATATAAAAAAATCCTAAACTTATTTTATTTCAGCTAGCTAGCTGCCAACATTTCTCATTATTTAGTTTAACTTGATATACTAAAATAATTAAAACTTAAACCGAAATTAATTTTTTTTATAAACATTATATAGATAAATTAATAAATTATAATAGTATCTCAGTGGTACTAAAATACCCCTCGTAGCTACACCATCTTTTTTCATCTTCATCCAACAACTTAAAAAAAAAAAGATACTGGAATTAGTTTGCAACATAATTCTCTAAGTAAGTAAGTAAGTAAGTAAAAGTAAGTAAGTAAGTAAATAAATACATAAATAAATACATAAATAAATAAATAATGTGGAGCCAAAACAACAAAACTGGTACAGACCTTTGACACAAATCCTTATACTTAGTAAGATATGGCCCTTATAACTTCTTCCCCATGTGACAACTAGCCCCGGTCTTTTTATATTGTGACACATAGGGTTATTGACTTATTGTGATATAAAATTACTGTAATATACTATTTTGGTCCCATATTTTCACTGTTTGTTTGGTTTCTAGAGAAAACAATGATGGGTCAAGCTGTTTTCAAACTTACAGTGCCAAATTGTTTGTTTTCGTTCTTACTAAATGGCATACAAAAGCAAATCCCACACTTTTCTGAAACATGAAAGAAGCGATCAAGGTGTAATCATCTAATCAAAAAAAGCAAGCAATTATACACAAAGCATCTCTATAGACCAGCAGTCAGCAGATGATCCCAGTAAGTCCAAGACCACGCTAATTAAAGTGAGTGTGTGCTGGCAGTCTGATGATAGCAATTACTGGATAAATGGGCATTTATCCATGATTAATTATGTAGCATTGTTAAGGAGTTTGACTGCTGTGACTGCTGCAAGTTCTGCGAGTTTGAGGGAAGCATGGAAAACACGTCAACGGAATATTCGCAAGGGTTCTTTTCAGAAATGCAAGAGATAGTTTATTGCCGAGACTGCATGTGTCCAATAGACGTGTACTGACTAGGCATGGGCCGGTATGAGATTTTGACGGTATGATAAGCAAAAATATCACGGTATCACGGTATTGTTGTTACAGCTCTAATATGTGTTCTTTTTAAATGACTGGGTAAAAAAAAAAAAAAAAAGCTTTTTTTCCGCTGAACACAATATATTTTGTTTTTGAGCGACACAGAATATTAGGAACAGTAGAATTTGTTTACTTTTTATTCGATTTGTTTCCTAAAAAGAAGACTGACATCTTTATTTAACCTAAATCTGTAATTACAGTTATTTAATTTTAGTTATATAATTTATATACATTTATATTATTTCATATCATTTAGTTATATAATTTCATATACATAATTAGATTTCCGGGTGCCGATCGCGAATGTTCCGGGGGAAGCTCCTTAAAGGTCCCATATTGTCAAAACTTAAATTTCCTGGCTTTTTTTTCATGATAACTGGGGTCTAGGTGCTATGTAACTAGCAAATAAGTTTCAAAACAGTCAATCCACAGTCAACTGCACACAGTCTGCATAAAGTAGCTGTGATTTTTCACAAACCATTGTGACTTCTGTAAAAAGGTGACGTCAGAACTACTCAGTCACCGCCTTCAGTCACCACCCGAGCACTGCCCACAGTCCCACTCTCCTTTTGCCAAACCCCCAGACAACATCGCGTCCATGCCATTGCTGAGCAACAACAACAGTCTGGATGCCAGGAAACTACATCATTGCACAGTAGGGCTGTAACGGTCGCCGTGACAACCGCGTCAACTGTTGTCTATTGCCACCGGCGGTAGTGCACGTGACGTCACACACTCTATAACAAGCATAACAAAGTTTTGTATACAAGTGTAATAACAGTAACAGTTGCAGATTGTTTTATTTAGGCTATAAGTCTATGCTAATTCACAAATTACCTCAAATGCCATACACGGCGTTTGATCTTTTAGATTGGCAGGTTTGAGCGCAGGAAAATAGAGTACAGAATACAGAAACCAAATACTACATCGCCGATCTGGAATCATTCCATTCATGTCACCCATCCGCATTTGTACAAGTGTCTTCAAGTTCACGTGATCGCAAACGCTCGGCTGGTCAGGTTTGTACCGTATTGGCCCGAATATAAGACGACCCTGATTATAAGACGACCCCCC